ACACAAATTTACCACGTGGCACGTCCATATTCCTTTTTTTCTTTTTCTTTTGTTATTTAAATTAAAAATTTTTTATTTGTGCTATATATATTCAATAAATTATCTTATTTTTAAAATAAAATTAATATGAGTCCCATTTGATTTTATTGTTGGTTTTTTATTTTCGGTTTTTTAATATTTTTTCTTTTTTATGTTTAATTAATTTCTCAAAAAATTACAAAAAATAAATATTTTAAAAGATTTTATTTTTTATGTGTGGGATTCACTTATATCAACTTTCCTTTTTTACTTTTTTGCTTTTTTTTATTTTTTTTTAATTTAATAAATATTTTTTTGAATTTTAAATTTTTTGTGTGAGACTTATAAGGTATCATAAGTATATCACGTGTTTAAATTTTAATTTTTTATATATTTAATAAAAAATTTTTATATTTTATTTTTTTAGAGCTATCAATGTCGAGAGTATGTTATATGTCAAGCCATTTAATTTTTTTACACTTATTTTTTAATTTTTTTAATTTAATAAATGTTTTTTTAATATTTTAAATTTTTTAAATATGAGCTCATTTGATAATATTATTAAAAACATATATATTTTTTCATTACTTTTTAATTTGATAATTTTAAAGAAAATGATATTAGCAAAGGTGTAGACGTTAAATCCAGATTTGATTTTTTAATCTTTTTTTATGTTTTTATTTTTTAAAATCCATGATATAAATTTTCAAAAAAAAGTTCATCACTGATGATGTGTAATAACTCAATTTTCTTTTTTTCCTTTCGTCTTTCTTTTTTTTTTTTAATTTTTAATATTTATTTTTTAAATTAAATCATTTTTTATAAAAAGCTAAGGAATTTGTGCATATAATATCTATTTTGTTTTTTTTCTCTTTCACTTTTTTCATTTTTTTAATTTTTTAATTAGATAAATTCATATGAAAAACTGATAAATAATTTTTTAAAGAAAAATATCAATATAAGTGTGTATGACAAAACAACTTTATATTTAATGAGTTTTGATTTGTCAAAATCTTATAGATTTTTTTAAAATTTAAAATCAGATCAAGTTTTTTTTTTTTTTTTTTAAATTGAGATTAAGTTAAAGATGAGTTTAAGATATTTCATCATGCTCAAGTATATATAAATATATATTTTATTATTCGTTTAATTATATATATGTATTACATTAATAATATTATTATTTAATAGTTTAATTTAATAAATTTTTGTGTAATTCTTATTTTATTTGTTTTTCTTTTTTTTGTATTTTTTTTAGTTTTCTAAAAATATTTTTAACTTTTTAAAATTAAGTAAATTTTGTAATAAAAAAAATAAATAGGTGTAAAGATAATAAAATAACTCATATCCCATAAGTTTTTATTTGACTTAATGGAATACGTACAAACTTTTAAAAAATTTGAGATTTGATCAAAAAATTTTTTTTTTAAATCAAGGCCAATTCAAAGTGGTTTAAAGTTTTTCATCTCAACCAATGTATACAATATTATATTTTTAATCAATTATTTTTATTTTATTTTTATATATTATTATATCAATAAAATTATTACTTAATATTTTAATATAATAAAATTATTATATTTATATATAATTAAGATGTAATCCATCAATTATTATATAACTTTTAACCATTGTGACTTTTGTTTGAGTTAAGGTATTGATGTGATATTTTATATATTTTTATTTTTGTCAACTTTTTAAATTTTTTAAATTTTAATATAAATAAATTTGTAAAAAAAAAAATCCAATATAGATGTTCATGCGACACCTTAATTTATTTTTTTTAATTACATGAATTTTGCAAAAAAAATCAATAATTTTGACTTTTTTTATTTTATCATTTTTTATATATTTTAATAATATAAATTTTATAATAAAAAGTGTTGATTGATAAAGATGATAAAATAATCGTATCAAATAGATTTCGATCCATCCGAATTTTGTGAGGGATATTTTTTTAAAATTAGGATCGAATTTTTTATAAGATACGATATTAGATGAATGCATGTATAGAGTGTTTCATCTAAACTCATTTTAAGTATATATTTTATTATTATTTTAATTTTAAATTTATATATTATATTAATAAAATTATTATTTAAAACTTTAATTTAAAAAACTAATAGTTTAAACTCTATTTAAATATTATATACTTTATGAACTCCTTTTTCAATTTTTATATCCACATATCATATGTTGTTTTTTGAACAAATTTCATAACTGGTCACTAAACTATCATCCACTTTTTATATAAATTATGAAATTTTAATTTCTCCCGATAATTAGTCAGATGAACAGATTCCATCCCATTATTGACAAAAAAAAAAAACGGGACTGCCATATCACTTGCCACGTCATTTGCACCTCAGCAAATTAAACCTCTGAAAATTTAAAAAATATATTTTTCATTAGTTTCTTTCTTTCATGGAATTGGTTCAAAGTATGAGGGCTCCTTCACCTGAGAGAAACTTGGTAAACAAACTGAATGAATTTCCTAGAATGCTTAATGATATGGATCGAGTTGTCAAGTTTCCTTCATTGTCATCAGCCATTAAATCCCTAGACAGAACTTTAAACAGGGATGAGCAGTCTCATCATCACCGCCAGGCAGAGCTTTTGAGAAAAGCGCAAGAGACGTTTCCATTAATGGTTGGTTTTTCGGAATACAGTAAGGATTCTTCTTCGTCATATTCAACTTCTTCATCACCAGGAAGAGATTTGGAGAGAAGGCCGGGAAGAATTAAAAAGGCTTTAGGGAAGCCTATCTTGACTCCGCCGCCAGTTTCATCCGTATTTTTTGCGCAACAAATATGACAGAAAGCCTATCTCCTCTTATGCCCTTCTCGATGCCGTTTATGACACAAAACCCAGTTAAGATTTCTCCAGTCGAGTTGCTAACGAGGTCTGAGTTTGAGGCAGTGGGGGAGCCAGAGGAGGCTTCAAAACCCAAGTTAAAGCCGTTACATTGGGATAAAGTGCAAGCCAGCTCTGATCGTGTGGGATTGGTGGCTGAATACTTGTCCCCTGGAAATCTTCTAATTGATTTTGGATTCTATAACCCATTGGGATGACCTGTGGGATCGTTGGGATAAACCAAATGCTTGCCTTATTATCACTATAGTTGCAGTTGCAGGTTCTATTGCAGGGGTTGCTCTTGATCTCGAGTCATATAAGCCTTTCTCGACAGGCTACTAGTTATAGAATTGAACTAGTATTACACCACTCATGGACAGTTCAAAAAGCAAAGAAAACTAATCTTTAGGATTAAAAAGGTTCTTGTTCATGTTCATATCAAGCCAGAATTGTTTTGCAGTTTCTTTTCTTCTGTTTCAACTTCCAACTTTCCCTATCACTCAAATGCAAAATGAAAATTTTTGAGCAAAAAATATTATCCAGGTTGCTTCTTTCTTGTGCTTTATACGAGTTTGGTTTTTACAGGTTGAATGAGTAGATGATTGAAATGCCATTCGTTGTAAAAACACCAAATTCTAAGCCAAAGCAAACAACTGCATGCTCTGTTAATAAAATAAAAGTATATATTTTAATTTTTAAAAGTTTAATTAGCTTACGTGGTTGATGACGTGGCTGGCAGATGATAGTCACGTCATTTTTTCTATTAATAATTAGATGAAAAATCAGTCAGAGTAATTAATTTTAGTAAACTTAATAATTTTAGTTACTTTAGTAGTATAAATTAAAATTTAATTATCTATTTGGAAAATAGTTCAGTGATCATTCGTGTAATTCACTCTTTTTTTTTATTATTTATTTACTCTTTTTATCTAATGTTTTTGTTTATCTTTTTTTTTTTTTTGGATGTCTCAAAAATATATATATTTTTAATATCTAAAATTTTTATTTTTAAAAATTATATTATATATTTTTTATTTTTTAAGATTAAAAAACATGTAACTTTAATTTTATAAAAAAAATTAAATTTAATATTAAATATATTAAAATTAAAATTTTTTTATATATCATGAAAATTAAAATATAATAAATATTTTGAAACGGAAGAACAATTCTTTTAATTGGATAACTTTAAAAATATCTGTGTATGTGATAGCATGCGGGCTCCATCTACTGAGCTTTTAAAACTGAAGGTAACAACTGTCTTCCAATCCCAAGAACTATGTCTGTCCGTTTGAGCTTCAACTTTCCTCTCTAAATTTCAGCCCTCCAAAGAAACTCACCCAAATATATAGGCTCCAATTTTTTCTCAGCCCTTCAAATCTACCCATAATTTCTTTCTCTCTCTTTCTCTTTTATCTAAACGGATCTGATCCACTCGTCACGCTACTTACTTCCACACAATCGGAATCCCAGGATCCGATCCATTTTGCTGCTCCAGTCGGGGCATTCTGTTTCTACCCTCCTTGCCTGGCCCCCCTCATGGACGCTGTCCACACCGTTCCTCGCTTCATTGCCGGAGCCATTTCTGGAGCTCTCACCGGCCTTTTTGCTTTTGGTAATAACGCCTCATATACTTTTCCTTTTCTTTTTTATATTTCTTTGTTTTAATTCAATGATTTTGGTCGGTGTTTTTCCTTTTTATTTCTACAGGATCTGTTTGGTCGTTAGGTTTGATATTTGCTTTTTATTTCTTCAAAAAGTTACAGTATTTGACTAAAAACAGCAAACAGATATAACACGCACCCAACCATAATCTTTCATATAAATTAATCATAACCCTTTGGATAATTGTTCAAAAAAGTTAGATTTTTGGTGTTTAGTTATTCAAAAACGTTAGCTTTTTTTTTTTTTTTTGTACAAAGGAAGTCAAGGATGGAGATAGCAGTCGGGATTGAAGGTGTTGGAATTTGATCGCAAATAGCTGTATGAACCAATATAGCTAACTCCGGATTTTGGAAATAAAAACAATAGAAAAGTAACAACCAAAACGGAGCATTTATTATTAATGGGGTGATTTTTCATTTTACGTAATTTTGGTGGATTTTCACATTGCTTTATTTAGATTTTCTTAAAATCGCTAACAATTGGAATCATATGAAGGTTATATTCCAGGCAAGATACATAAACATTAGTACATTTTTGTTTTTTGGGTTATTGATGCATATGAAACACCCGACACTAGGTGTTATCTACCAATATTACTTGATTAAATTTGGCTTCTTTTCGAGTAAATGATTGTAGTTTTCGAATTCAATAGTGCTATGCAGTTTTTCTCACGAGGCATATACTTGTTGTTTGTTCTATGTTGCAGCAGGAGCTTTTACCGGAGCTGTTATGGGTGCTCTAGCAGGTAGGGCTTCTGATACTGGCATCCTTCGTGGGGCTGGATTAGGTGCTATAGCTGGGGCTGTACTCTATGCTGAGGTTTTGGAGGCGTCTCATGCTTACTGGTCCTTGGAACGATCTGGCTTAAGGGGTTCATCATCTATGGTTAGCTTACTGGATTAGCAGTAGCTAACTTGATTCTTGTTCATGCTACACAAATCTTCTTGAAATTTTCTATTAGTCTTGTATGACATATATTTTTTCATTCCTTTGGTCATAGACTAATTATCTATGTTTTGTTTGCATTTTGGGTCCAGGCAGACTTCATGGAGGAGCTTCTCTATGGAAGATTGGTACAAGAAGGGTTAACGCCAGCAATGTCAACTGCCTATCATTGGCAGGTTTTTATTCATTTTCTCTTGTTATTTGCTTGTTAAAAACACTAGATTTGTGGTGTACTGTTGGAAATTTAGTCCATATCTACATGATTAGTCTGTCATCAAGAAAAATGCCTTCTCCTTTGTGTGGAAATACATGAAATGATTGGTAAAAAACATTAGTTTTTCATTGTTGTACTGATGTGTTATGGAGATAATCCATATGCAAGGAGGACAATCACTCTCTAAAAGGGTTGTGTGCTACTTTGTGCATTGACATCTGAAGGTGATGGTTGTCAGACTGTAGTTTTGAGTAGCATAAATGAGGCGCAATGAGGACTCTAGGAGAGGATAGAAAATCTTAGTACTATCTAATTTGACCTAATCTTCTTCACTTTCTCGTTTTCATTTTTGTTATGACATTAAGCTTTTGTATGCTTGCTTTTGGAGTGTTGTTTCTTGAATAAAGTCTAAAGAATACTTGAAATATCTGTTTGTGCAAAACGTACACTCATTTAAGATACTGCTCTTACAAGTTTCTGTAGGTTGGAGCATTTTGGTTATAAAAGAAATTGACTGAAATACTATTTGACAGTAAGAATATGGTGCTGTTTTTCTGTATTTCAATTAGCTTTACATATACAGTTATTATCTTCTTTAAATTAGTAATGCCAGGACTATCAGATAGTACTTATTGAGAAGGTTTAGGCCCAATTCTTGTTAAAAAAAATCTCATTTCTTGATATTTCGATTTGGTAGTCGGTAGATGTCTTTCTTAAATTTGGAGGAATATGCATAAAGCCAAAATGAAACTTACTTTTACCGTTTCTGCTTCACGAAGGTGGCTAACTCCATGATGCATTTTGTTCTTGAAGGCTGTTACTTCAAATTCATAGTTTTGCATGTAACTGGGCAGAAAAGTTAAGAAACTTAACAGTAATTCACAGTTTATACTAGAGACTTAACTTTGGATCTCTCTCTCTCTCTCTCTATCGTTTTTGGCATAGGTAAGCATTGCTAATATAAACTATGATGAGATCAATGATATCAATGGTGGAGTATCAAGGGGGTTGTCAGGAGATTCACTAAAAAAACTACCATGTCATGTGATATCAGACGATATGATGGCAACTCAGAGCATCAATTGCACAATATGTTTGCAGGTCCAACTTTTTGCGTGAATTCTCTTCTTTTACCACTGCAATTATATTAATAGTAACTCCGATGCTATCTTTATGAATAATAACAATAATAATACTATTAATAACAATAACAATAGATTTTACCATTGGTCAGGATCTTAAACTAGGGGAACTTGCAAGGAGCTTGCCAAACTGCCAGCACACGTTTCACCTAACATGTGTGGATAACTGGCTTATGAGGCAGGGTTCGTGCCCTGTATGCAGACGGGACGTGTAGAGCTACTAGGCTCAAGTGATGGTATGTATAAAGGGCAGTGGAGATTACATTGTTAGTCCACTTACCATATTGTGTTGTAAGATTTAAGGATTATAAATCTAATTCTTACTTGTGTCCTTTTTGAAGTCAATTACTGGATGTATCCACAGGGCAAGAAGCTTTGTGTCATACCTTATGAATCCAACTGTCTAAATATATATACTCTGGTTTATCTTGTTGGTGGATATTTTCTGCCAATGGAAATTTGTAATGTGAATTGCATTCTGTTTTAGGATCTGGAGCACTGATTTTGCTATTAAAATTTTTTTGGTATTGCACTCACGACTTAACTCAATTGATTTATACAATCACTTTTTAAAAGTAACATTCAACAGATATAAAGTTCAAATTTAAATTTCAATATTCGTATTTTTTTTTTATTCTTAGGTTATGATTTCTTGGTATCATTTCATGCTGCGTTGGAGCTTTTTTCGATAAGACTTAATCCTATGTTTTTCGGTCCCAAAAGGAAAAGCTTCGAGCGAACTCCATCCAATTGTGAGCCCTTGAGGAATGAAGGAGAGCCTTAGAATTAGTGTGTCAAAGCGCATTGCTGTTCCTTGGAAGTTGGAACCCAGCAAGACCTTCAACACCTCTTCAAGTAACAGACAAGACGACGGAAGTAATGGCGCTTGGGCAAAATCTGCTGCATTAGGGCTAAACAGGGTGCCGCACAAAGTTCAATTTTTGTAATTTTGCATATACCATAAAGTTGTTGCCATGGAAGACTGCTTTATTTAACTGAAATGAATGGAACTTGCAGTTCATTACAAATTTCTTGAGATACATAAGAATCATTGAATTACTTAAAAAGACATTAGATCACCAAGCATACATCAAAACAGCATTATTACCACAGCCTTGATTTCCTTTACGTATCAATCATTTGGCATCAGGATCTATCTGACAACATGATGACGGCGAGAATTTGCTTATTAAACAACCATGACATGCACATATTATCTGCAAATACGAAGATAGATGCCAACTTAAACAACAAACTTATCGCAAAGAAAACCAAAAATGTGTCACAGCATGCTTTAACACTCCTTAAAAGTATCTTTATTTTTGTTCTGCATCATATAGCAGGATTCAAGCAATCCAAGAAGCAGATATAACAATAGGTTATTGAGACGAATCTTAGAAAACAGGCCAATTGGAAATTTCATTTTATCTTCTTTTTTTTTTAGTGTAATAGCTTTGGAATTTATACACCAAAATATATTCCAGCAAAATTATGTGAAGTTTAGAGGGCAACATAGATGGGAATGTAAATACACATATCACACATTGGAGCCAATCAGATCTTTGGTGGTCATAAATCACACGGCCACTGCTTCTGGCTTTTTGCTGGTTTTGATTCCTCTAACAGCTGTAAAACAATTTGTTCCAGTCACAAAAATTTGTTAAAATGCATTCATTTATACACATTAAAATTAATTAATAAATCCCCATTCATACCTTCAGCATAATCTTTGGCTCCAAACACAGCTGAACCAGCAACTATAGCATTAGCTCCAGCCTCAACAACCTGCCAGCAATGACAACGATATTCTTAACATGACTTTTGTCTTTAGTAGATATGACAGGAAAAGCGAGAGTTTCAACAGAAACCCCCCAATTTTTTCCGAGTCACGAATATCACAAATGAGATGATTAACATAACTTTGGTCTATAATACATATGACAGGAAAGAGCAGGGCCAACCATTTTCATTTTCCACTTTCTTTCCTTTCAACGTGCCTTTAACAACAGGCATGCATTTTGAATTATGTCAAACTTTCAATCGTAAAGCAACTGTAGGCCTATCTTTCACTAACTGATAACTCATAGAACTGTAAACTACGTGATTCTATTGGGGTACCTTATATGCATTTTTAGGACCAACTCCACCATCCACTTCAATCCATGGGTTTACTCCCTGCAGGGGAAATATAAAAAGAAAATATCACGAGATTCTCAAGCATAAATACATCGAAGACACACACGGCAAGCATTTTATACCTTCTCTGCACACATTCTTCTCAAGTCAGAGATTTTCTTCACTTGGCTCTCAATAAAGCTCTGCCCGCCAAAGCCAGGGTTGACTGACATAATCAAGACTAGATCAACCACTGTTCAAATGCAAAAGAGATTATCTTGTCAATTTCTTTGGGTTATGATTATTATACATTGTTTCTGTTTTGTAAGAAAAAGAGGCCTTCAAGTCAAAAGCACGAGTAAGTTGAATTTAAACTATGGTAAACTCTCCCTACAGCTCCCGTGGCTTCAACTTTTCCCATATAGAGTCCTATGATTTTTATTTTCTCAATTAGCACTATGAGTTTAAGTTTTGAGAGGCAGTTACACCGTTACTTCATCTGATAAAATTACCAAAATACTCTCAATCCAAAAAAGTACTTTATTTGTTCACACAAGGGTATTTTCAAAATTTTACTAAAAAATTTAACAGTGTAACTTCTATGGAAACAAAACTTTGCCACAAGTTGCTAATTGAGAAAATAAAAATCACAAGGGGCCAAGTGGAAAAAGTTGAAATCGGAAGTGATTTATATGGAGTTTAACCTTTAAACTATTATTAGAATATTCTTTTAACTATCCCTCAAGGGTTTTTACTTTATGATATATCTTTCATTCCAGCTTATCAATAGAAAATAAGCTGTGTAGGAATCATCCTTGACAGAAAGAAAAGAAAATAGGAAAAGGAAATAGAAAATAAAAACTAACCATCAAGTACATATTCTATTGTACTAAGCGGGGTGGCAGGGTTTAGGACAACTCCAGCTTTAGCGCCCAGGCCTTTTATCTATACAATAAGAAAAGTGTTGCGAAAAATTAGGAGAAAACTAACAGCACTCAAACAGAAAGGAATTTCCGCACAAAAGATATTATAAAGGTGGGAAATTTAATCAATGCCAGTGCAGGCAACAGCAAAAGCAAAATAACAAGACACTATTAAGCATTGGATGGAAAACCATCAAAATAATTCCCAGTAGTATCAGCAACCCCATGATCACAAAAACTATGACCTGTAATAAACAACTTTCAGGCATGCTCAAAAGGGCATATTAAGAAGCAATTATGCATGATTGAGGTAGGAGTGAGGGAGATAAAATATGTAGTTAAAAAGCCGCAACTGCAAAAATAGGGTGCAAAAACAGAATAGAAATTATGCATCCATTATAAATGTCCTGATCAAATATCAATGAGTAATTGTTTGATCATGTCTCAGAAGAATAACGAAGACAATACATTTAAAAAACAGACGTAGCTTGAAAAGGACGAACTCTGTAGGATTGTCCTAAGAATTCTAAAGATTCCCTTCCCCTCAGCTTATATGTGGTATGCAGCCTAGATGCAAGATACAAGATTTGTTACACAAATTTCTTCATCACTAGTTTTCAGCCTTAAGCAGCCACCAACATAGCAAAAATCCAAGTGCAAAAGCAAGTCAAATTAGGCATGAGAAAACAAGGTTTACTTTTCTGATTTATATGACCTCATTATCATGAAATGCATTCAAGTTTAGGCTTTACTTGATAATATTTGCTAGACTCCATTCACATCTTGTATGTAAAGTAAATATGGGTTAATGAACAATTCATTTGATAAGCAGCTCTTAAGAGACCAAGTAACTGCTAGTGCCAACTCCCCATTTATCAAGGAAAATATAGTAGAAATGCTCAGAGAAAGAGAAATCTTACTTGATTAAGAGTACGATGCAAATGAATGGTTGAAGATTGCTCACAGTGAACACTGACTATGTCTGCTCCAGCCTTAATAAAATCTGGAACTCGCTGCTCTGGTTCCACAATCATCTGCAGTGCATATATCTCAGGTTAGCATATATTGTTTCACCAATATTGATCTGTTGATGACAAGGAATGCAAAGAGAAACATACCAAATGTACATCCAGTGGAAGATCCGTCACAGGTCGTAAGGCATCAACCACTAGTGGTCCAATTGTAATGTTTGGAACAAATCGACCATCCATTACATCAACATGGATCCAATCACAGCCTGCCATTTCAACTGCTTTCACCTAGAAAATCTTGAAAGTCAAACTTCAAAAGCAAGCTCCAATTTGAGTTCAATAGATCATGGACATAAAATAAGACAAGAACAGCTAAAAGAGCTAACAGGTTTCCTAAAAGAGCTAACATTGGCAAAAGTCAAATACCAAACTGAAGTGGAACAACCATTAAGTGATAATGCAGATTATAGTCCATTGAGTGTGTTCCAGAAACAATGCATATCTAAAAGTAATTATTTACAGGAAAAATGGAAAGTAATTTCATAGTAAAACAAAAAAGAGCAATACAGAACCTGCTCCCCCAACTTTGCAAAGTTAGCAGAGAGAATAGATGGAGAAACAATAATGTCGTTTTTTGAGAATTTATCAACTCGTAGCAATTCTCCTCCTAACAGTTTTAGGAAAAAAAAAAGTAACAGAAGCATATTAAAATAGATTTTACCAGATCTGGAAGAACAGAAATCAAATCTGATAAAAATTATACATTTATTCTTATCTTCTCAAATAATGTATTGCCCTGTTTTGTACCAAGAAGACAAATACACTTGTGCTTGTAACATGAAAGGTACGAAATATTTTCCAGTATAGAAGCAAAATAATTTCTAAATAAAGGAATGACAAGAGCCTTAAAAGATTGAATCTTAAAATTCAGATGATTTGGCCAAAGAAAGACCTTGTAAACACTCTCCCCTCATTCAGAACAATAAGGGCTACTTAACTATGGACTTGACTACTGCAGTTAATGATTGTGTGGCAAACAGGGGTAAAATAGAAAATCAAGTTTCCCAAAATTATGGCAAATTGAAAAGTATTGGAAATGCTAAAAGCTGCTCACTGCCTGTGACCTTCCTGGAACCCAGAACAAAACCGAAAATTGTCAATTAATTGACTTTTTTTTTTTTTTTGTTATAGGCATTATGATGTCTCATTTAACCTAATTTTTACATTGTAAATCCCATAACAAGATCGATAGATGGGGTTAAAAATGTTACTGATGCACCTTCCACCCTAAAAGACTGATTGATAGGGATGAAATAACCATTCGCTATCTCTACATCTCAGAAATGTCAAGAATTTCAGGACTGCAAGGAAAAAGCAATGACTTAATTGGTAAGAATTTTAATGGTACTTGCTTCTTATATCACATATATGTGATACCTTCACCTGTGATCTATCAGAAATAACTGAAGGAAAGATATTAAAACAGAGTGGAATAGACTACAGAAGGCATAGATATTAAAAAAATGCACTCAAATTTTCAATGTGATTTGTGAGTGCAATGCGCTAATACATAACTTGTACCAAAAACCACAGTCCAAACAGCCATCCTAGCTTCAACTTAGCATAAAAACACGCGTGCGAGTTGCAAATTTGAAAATAATTAGCAGCACTCATCCATCCACAATTTTTGCACCTAAGTAAGCACCAACCATACAATTACACTTCCATTAAATTGCATACCAAAAACATTAAGTAATTAACAATTTCACTGTAAACAAAACTATAAACCATTTAAATTTCATTGTTCATTTACAGTTTAGCTTCCTTATGTTCTTGATGAATATTTTAATTGACAAGTTCTTCACCACCTCATTTCATTTGTAAGGAAACATCACAAAAAATGAAAATTTCAAATATTAGCAAAAAATAAATATCAAAGTTCAAACAAAGTAAATTTGGTTACAAGGAAATTTCAACATTTCTGAACTGGGTTTTATTCTCAACTCCCATAAATTTGCTTCTTTACCATCTAAACCTCTAATGCATGCACAAAAACCCAATAAGAATCAATCAAAAAAATTGAAAAAAAAAAGTTAAGTACCTTGTGAAGGTAAGTGTCTTGGATTGAGGAAGATGGGTTCTTAGAAGCCTAAGTCCGCCTCCAAAGCCATTAACCTGAGTCGATGAACACAATGAAGAAGCTGTTGACATCTTTTACTGTTCTTTTCCCACTCCTTTCTCTATCTATACTAAAAAAAAAGACTATCATTTTCTTTTTTAATCTATAAAGGAAGGGTTTTTTGTTTGTTGAAATCTCACCAACAACAGCAGCAAGAGTTGGAAACCCAGAGCCTAAAGGACAAATAACATGGTAAATTCTTAGAAAATCTCGGAGAAATTTAGGAAGGAAATAATGTAATGATGACACGTGTCAAGTGAATTTGTGGGTTAGTCTGCTTATCTTCAATGGTTGGCGCTCCAGATTGCGGACGTGTGAAAGTTAAGAGATCAGTTGCGTTGAGTTGAGTTATTGTGTTGTGCTGGGGGAACGAGTCAGCATCTGTTCGTCCCGTCATTCCACAAATTGAATTCAAATTGCAAAAGGATAAAAAGAAAAAAAAAAAAAAAGCAAGTGAAAACTCAAATTTTTATTATATTTTATTGGATTTTGATTTGAAAAAGTACCAAATATTGACACTAATTTAAAATTTAAAATTATATAATTTTAAAATTTTATTTAAAATTTAAAATTTAAAATTTTTATTTCATCAAAATGCAGACACATTTTATTTGAAGTATTATTTTAATATTTTAATTAATTATTTATTAATTATATAATTACGTAAATTTTATTTATTAAATTAAATGAATAAATAATTTGAAACTTTTATATCCAAATAAAAATTAATAATCCAAAAAAATTTGAAAAAAATAAATTAAAGAAATTAAAAAAAAGATGAGGCTAGTTTTAGGTCAATAAAGAAAAACAATCAAATAAATATTAAAAATGTTTTTTAATAAATTTTAAAAAAGAATTTTGATAAAATTTTTATTATTGAAAGTATTATATAAATTTAAACTATAAATAATATTTTTAATATTCTATTAATTTTATATTAAACTCTATCAAATTAAATTTATTATTAATATTTTATGTTAACATTTTTAATAAAAAATTTTACGAATTTCAGTTAAATAAATTACAAATTACAATATAGTATAGTGGGAAAATGCAAAATTTCATCCATCACCGCAAATTAAGCAAAAACTAACACGTCACCGACACATCATTTGGGTGAAAAAGGTCAACATAATCATATGACACTTCCTCCTGAATCCCAATTCTTGTCTCAATTCCTACTCTAAGCCTCTCTAATCCTGTACGATACCTGTCCCTCCTTCCCTCTCTCTTCTGCCTCAACTTTGCTGCTGTGCTCTCTTCTTCATGCTTATTTTTAAATTTTACCCACATGAGAATTTTGGGTTAATGATATGAAGCGGTTAAGAAGAAACCCGGATGAGAATGACCCGGGAACCAACTCGGATCTTGATGGGGAAGGCTTGTTTCTGAGGGATCAAGAAAGGAAATGTGGGTTGAGTTCAATGAGGTTGATGGGTTTTGTTGCGGTGGCTTTGATGGTTGTATCAGTTGTTTTTTCAGTTTCTCTAGTGCTTCAAGACCCACCAAGTGATGGGGTTTTGGAGTCTGGTAAAGAGGCCAGACTTCTTGATGTTTTGGAGGCAAGTAAGGAGGAGAAAGTTCTTGAACTCAAACCCCATAAAGGTACCTTCAATTTGTTTTTAATTTTCGCATGACTGAACAATGAAAAGTTTTTTTTTTTTTGGGGGGGGGGGGTGTTTAAATTAAGGATTTTTGCTTCTTCTGAATCAAACCCCGGAAAGAAACTTTATCTCTTTGGTTGTTTTAAAATTTTTGTATGACCGAAAATTTTTAGTTTTTATTCGTTCAAGTAATGAATATTATTTGTTTGTGAATCATTTTTATTGGTTTTATTGAGTGGATGTGGAAATGCTGTTACGGCTTGGTTGTTAACTTGCTTGTTTAAGTGGATTAAATAGTAGCTAATTGAACTAAATAGTTGGCTTGTTTGGAGCTGCTTAATTTCCTTACAGCTGTTGAATCTATTTCACTATGTTCATGAGGCTCAATGTGAAGATTTGGTGTAAAATGCTTTAACATGGGTCATATCTTTTGCATGCCTTTTAGACTTTAGCTGTCAGTGCCACATTGTATTTTCCATTGCAAAGCAATTCACTGAGCACAAGTTCCTCTCCATGTCAGTTTGTCTCACCCAACATGGCTGCTTGTGGTGTTAGGTTGTGTAAGTCTTGTGCATTAGCAAAATTAGTTGAAGTTTGCTTGAACATTTGTTATTGCCATGCTTTTATTTATAGATTCTTTATTATTAGGTATGAATCTGTTGTTAGATGACATTATTATGGTTTGCAAATTTTCTTTCAACTACTTAATTGCACTGTGTTTTTTTCCCCTTTTAATTTGTGTGCAAGAAGAGAGTAGTAGGGTTCAAATCTAGGTTCTCTCCATTTCCTTAGGTTCTCTACCCAACCCACCTCGCCCCAAAAGAGCACCTGTGCACATATTGCATATTTTCTTTCATATATTGTGGGTCTTTCGAGTGCCTTATGCATCACGGTAATGATTTTGTAGATTATAGTTCTCAAGTGGTCTTTCGAGTGCCTCATGCAGCATGGTAATGATTTTGTAGAATATAGTTCTCAAGTCTTCCATTTGAAATCTACTACTTCGTTTTGTAATTTGTGCGGACTGCAGAAATTTCCCAACGCCGCCTGATTTGTTAATAATTTTTTGGCCTGAGAATAGATGCTTTGGCATTGCTAATTCCATATGAATAATGGTCCTCAACTGTTGTTTTAATTTGAATTGGCATCATTTGCTCAAATTCAATACCTGCTTTGTAAAATGAGCATGAATAATCTTTGTTTTCCCCCTTTTTAAGTTGTAGGTCCAGTTGATGATTATGCCCCATCTTTTGAGGCACGTAAAGATAAACTGCTAGGCGGACTTCTTGCAGCTGGATTTGATGAAAGATCTTGTGTCAGCAGGTATCAGTCAGTCTTATACCGCAAAGAATTGCTACATAAACCTTCACCTTACCTCATCTCTAGGTTACGGAGTTACGAAGCTCTCCATAAACGATGTGGGCCGTATAGTGAATCATATAACAAAACCTTGGAAAAGCTAAAGACTAAGCATCATCTTGGGTCTACAGATTGTAATTATTTAGTATGGATTTCCTTTAGTGGGTTAGGGAATAGGATACTGACTCTAGCTTCAGCATTTCTTTATGCTCTCCTTACAAATCGTGTTCTACTTGTCGACCCTGGAGCTGATATGATTGATCTTTTTTGTGAACCTTTTCCTGAGGTCTCTTGGTTTCTCCCATCAGATTTCCCCCTTAAAAGTCAGTTCAACAGCTTTGATCAGAAATCTCCTCACTGTTATGGGAGAATGCTGAAGAATAGCACTTTTGCTAATTCAACTGGGTTTATATCATCTTCATCTGTATATCTCCATCTGGTCCATGATTATGATGATCAAGATAAGCTTTTTTTCTGTGATGAAGACCAAACTTCTCTCAAGGATGTTCCTTGGTTGATCATGAAAACAGATAATTACTTTGTCCCATCTCTTTTCTTGATCCCCTCTTTTGAGCAGGAACTGAGTAATCTCTTCCCCAGAAAAGAAACAGTTTTCCACTTCTTGGGTCGATATCTATTCCATCCAACAAATCCAGTTTGGGGACTTATAACCAGATACTATCAAGCTTATTTAGCTAAGGCAGATGAAAGGATAGGCATCCAAATCAGGGTATTTGACACTGGGACTGGTCCATTCCAACATGTGTTGGATCAGATCATTGCTTGTGTCTTGAAGGAGAATCTGCTGCCTGAGATCAGCAGGGAAAAGCCCATAATTAATCATTCTCAGAGGTCTAAAGCCGTGCTAGTTACATCTTTGAGTGCTGGTTACTTTGAGAAAATAAGGGACATGTACTGGGAACATCCAACTGTGACAGGGGAGGTCATCAGTGTTTACCAACCAAGCCATGAAGAGCATCAACAAACAGAGAAGAGTTTTCACAATAGGAAGGCATGGGCTGAAATGTATTTATTGAGCTTGACCGATGTGCTAGTCACTAGCTCATGGTCGACATTTGGGTATGTTGCTCAAAGCCTCGGGGGGTTGAACCCATGGATACTCTACAAACCTGAGAAACGGACAGCCCCAGACCCACCGTGTCGTCGAGTCATGTCAATGGAGCCATGTTTCCATGCCCCTCCCTTTTATGACTGCAAGGCCAAAAGAGGCATTGACACAGGTGCACTGGTTCCTCATGTAAAGCACTGTGAGGACATGAGCTGGGGTCTTAAGCTTGTTGACAATGAGAGTAAATTATAAGCATAGTTGTCCAAGCAATTTCTTGTTGTAGAACAGGTCGCGAGTAATGTCAAATTAAATATAAACCTTAAATTTGCACTTCTGCAAACATTTTTGTTTGCTAATATTGGTTTCCATAAGAAGAAATGTACTGCAGTGCCTTTTATTTCTACCTTGAGTTAAATAACATTTTTTATCTTAACTTTGAAAAAAATGTACAAATTGATACATAAAGAAATAAAATAAACAATTTGTAACTTGAATTTTCAAATAATATATTTTATGTTAACCTAAACTCTAATCCTATTAATCATATCAGTTTATCCATGCGAAATTTGATAAATATTATTAAGTTATATGTTTATCAAACATATTATCAAAATCTTTTTTCAATAAAATTAAAAATATTTTTTTTATTTGAATTGTAAAAATGTTTAGGATTAATTAATCATTTTTTATCCATATTAAGATTCTTTATAAAATATTTAATATTTTATTTAATAAATAGCATGTATATAATAAAAATTACGCTAATTAGATATTATATAGATAAATTAAATTAACAATATTAAATTTTATATTAAAACAATAAATTATTTAAAAATTTATGACATAAATTATACATTTTTTTTTTCCGACGTTGAGATATGAAAAGTATAATTAACTCTTCTTTTCGTTAGTACAAATCACTCAACCAATCAAGATTTTTATGATTTTTTGTTTGATGAATATCTTCTTGTAATTCTTTTGAGAGAGTCAAATGTAATGGAGAGCACACTGATCATTTTAAAGAAAAAAAGAACTCTTTTTTAAACTAAGCCTATGTTTGGATTGAAGTTAGTAAAGGAGAGGAAAAAAAAAAAAATAAAAGTTAAAAAAAAAATGATAGTTCATTCCCTTGGATAACTAAAATGAGTAAAGGAAAAAAAATTTGATCATATCCTTTGTTTGGTTAAGTTGGGGAAAAGAAAAAAAAAAGATATTATACTATATTATTCCAATTATACCCCTTTAAAATAAAATATTTTTCTTATTATGTGAATAATTTTGATATTAACTATTTTGAAAAATTTTTAAAAGTAATAAAAATAATTTCAATTAAAGAGAGTATTATTAATAATTAATTTATAAAAAATGTATGTTTAGAATTATTTTTATACTACAATATTTTTTTTTTCAAAATTAATCCATAAATGAGAAAATTAAGAACTCAAATATTTATTATTAAGATAAAACTAACCATAAATTTATTTAAGTATTAACATTTTCCTATCGTTGTGCATGTTTTGTCATATTCTTTTATTTTTATTATTTAAAATTTGTAAAGTCATAATAAAATAAAAAATAAAATCTAAGCATAAATTAAAAATATATAAAATTCGAAGTTACTGACAAAAAAGTAATTGAAAAATGAGTTGCAAAAAATTTAAAGGTAACATATATGGTTAACATCAATGGTTAAATATTATAATAATATTCTTTGAAAAATGATAAAATATAATAAAAAAATAAAAGTCATTTTATATTTAAACAATTTTAATTTTTTCCTTTCCTTCCTATTTACCCCAATTTGGGTGATTAAAAATTGGAGCTATTGAGGGAAAGAGAGTAATGCTCAATTTCCTTTCCTTTCCTTTCATTTATTATAATGTAAATGATGAATCAAACAAAGGAAATATTTTCTTATTTTCCTTGTTTTCTTTTCCTTTCCTTTTTTTTCCCTCACCTTCTCTCAATCTAAACATAGGCTAAAGGTTCGTTTAGAGTACAGTTAGGCCTATCATAAAATATATCTTTTGATATAATAAAAATATTTTAATCGGACTTTTAAATAAAAACTAAAATAATGCATCTAGTTTAATTTATGTATTATAATTAGAGAAATTTACATTTTAAAGTATTCCTTTAAGTTAAATTTTTTAAGTATTTTAAATATTGAGACAATGAAAATAATTTATATGACAAGAAAATTATATTTCTCGGTTTATAACTCAAAACCCAATAGTTTTATCATGTAAAAAAAAAAATTATACAAGCATGTATAAGTAAATAAACATATACATATCTAAAATCTAAAGAGGTTAAAATTATGAATGACCCATAAATTATAATAAAATTTTAATATAATATATAAATTTAAAAAAATTTTAAGGTAATATTTGAATTATAAATCTGTTAATTAATGTGGTACTTATATCTAACATAATTAATTTTAAATAATGATACATAATAAACAAATAACTTTCAAAATATTATATTAATTAATAAATTCATAACTCAAATATCATATCAAAAATTTTTAAAATTAAAATATCATATTTAATATTTTATTATAGCTTAAAGGCTAAAAGCTATTGATGATATTAATCCAATCTAGAACTATAGATTAAAGGGGATAATGTGGTAATATGTATCAAAGTCTTTTGATATCTTCATGTCATTTTTTAAAAAGTTTTGTTCAAGAAGATCTTTTTTCAAAAAGTCTTTTAAGGGTTAGTCTACTGACATATGGCAAGCTCTTTGCTCACTATGTGACATTTTAATTTTCTTAAAATAGTTTTTCAAAAAAACTATTTTTTTTAATTTGTTTAATTATAATTATAATAAAAAATAAAAAAAAGAGGTGAATAGAGGGAAGAGGAAGTGTTGTCCTTTTGGAAATTACAAAACCCTTAATGTTTTTTGCAAAAATAATAATAATAACAATAATAACTCTTAGATAATAAAAAATATCTCTAAAAATACATTCAACTCACCAATGAAAAAGTTAACCTCAAAACTCTAAGAGTAACCAATATATTAAATTTCAATCACAAATTAAAACATAAAAAAATACAATTAAAATAATAACCAATTGAAAAAATAACCTACAAAAAAATCAATTAAAAAACCACAAAAATTAACAAAAAATTAAAAAAACCAAATCTAGAATTTAAATATTTTTATAAAATACATTAGAACTAACTATAAATTTCAAAAAAAAAAAAAATTACAATCAATCAACACAAACAATCATATAAATAACTCTAAACAAAATTTTTTTATTTTTTATTTTTTTAAACAGACTAGTATTCTACTTTTTGCTTTAATTTTCCCTATTTTCGAAGTATCATGCTAAAAAAGGTGGCAGGTTATATTTAATACGGCTTGTTGGCCAGAGCTTGAACCACTAAAAAACCACATGTGAAATTCATTTAATAAACTGATTCAGATTTCTTTGCTTCGGGTCAATTTTCACTCTTTTCCCCTTCGTATCTATAACAGCCTGCAGCCTTCGCATTTATAGGATCCGGGGACCATGCTCCTGCAATTTTGAAAATGCCGCTAACTTAGCTCGTCGATAAGATTGATTTGATAAAATTAAAAATAATAATATAACTTGTCATATTTTTTCATATCAATTTAAATAAATTTATTTGTATGGTAAAAGATATAATCATAATGTTTAGTAACAAATTTGAAAAAAATTATAAAATTTGAATTTTAAATTTATAAGATATTAATTTTTAAAAAATATTATATGAATAATTTGAATTAAAATTAAAATTAATAAATAATTCAATTTTTGAGCATGCATGCGATAAAATTTCATGGTGGATTTGATTTTTTTTTTGTATATTATTAAAAATATTAACTTAAATAGTTAAATCTAAAAAAATTTGATAAAATTCTTTTTGAAAATATTTTCGGATTCTCTAAACAAAATATGTTTACCTTGTGAACCAACTTAATTGATTTATAAATAGAGGTGATAAAACATTTTTCTAAAGCAGGTGCCGTTTCATGATTTATTTCTTCTCTGCAGTACTAGCTATGCTATGATTTTTGACTACTCCAAATCCATGTGCAGAATGGTACAAGAGAATTAAAATGATTTCCATTTTTTTGCTGTTTTTTTATATATATATTTTTAGTACAACTGTCTTTTTTGTTTTGTATTCATGTTTTTTTGGAGATAAAGCACGCATAAATAATGGGTGAGAAAGTCAAGGAACCCTAAGTCAGATATAGAGGCACACCTTATACGGCCTTAATTGAAATAGAACCTACTTTCATTCATTTCTCTTCTTATACAAGACAAGGCAACAAAAAATTTTGAAAATTTCTAGAATAATTAATATGGAAACTACAACAAGAAAAACTCGAAATTAAATAAGCATCAGACAGCAATCAGAACCCTAAATATTATTTGGAGAAAACCAATTTTAATTTCTTAGGAAAACAATTATATTTAATCAAAATCGATTGATCTTTAAATAAATTAGCATGATATTATAATTGTCATTTGAAAATTATTAATTTGAAAAAGTTTATGTATATAATATATTTTTTCAATCAAATAAACATGAAGATAAAGACTTCAAGATTAGATTAAGAACTCAAATACTGCATACATATAATATAATATATATGTAGTAAAATATGCAGTCGGAATATCTGATTGAGTACAGTGTCAAATATTATGTCCGCAATCAACTAGATCAAAAATATCATCCCAATAGTTGTTGTGCTCATCATCTTCGCTGAGTACTCCTGCATCATTGCTTCCATTATTACCATCATTATCTAAGTTTGATTGAACGAAATGATCGCTTTCACAACCATTAAAAAGAAGATTTGAGAACCATTTGATCGAGTCTTCATCTCCAATATTGCAAGTTCCCATGTTCCATGCCTCTCCACCTTCAAACTCCATATCTTGGCATGCGGTGAACAACGCTTCATTTGATTGAAACGATGCAATATTGGTTGATGATGCTCTTGGGTTTTGCAAGAAGTTCAGTGTAGATGTTGGAGAATCAAGATTATTGCTTCCCTGATCGAAGCCATTGTTGTCGATTACCATTGACTCGAGTTGTACTCTTTGCCATGCTTTTAGTATATCAAGGCAACGCGGGGCGCCAAGTCTGGAAGCTATTTTTTTGAGTTGCAGAGTGGGAACAGGCCCTGGTAAGCCAGGTTGATGGTCATATTGGCGTAGTTTTGATGACTCTCTAACCAGCCTAGCTTCCGCTTCAAGTCGAGCACTCTCCCATTGAGCCATGTGAGTAAGGTTTGACACCTTCTTCGGATCAGCGCCATTGGCAGAGCCAAGAGCTGCAACCACTGGCTTATGAGTAGAAGGATCGATCCCCATCATGGCTAATCTTTTCTTTATATGTGTGTTCCAATAATTCTTGATTTCATTATCGGTTCTCTTAGGTAGATGAGAAGCAATTGCAGACCACCTATAACAAGTTGGAAAACATGCTAAAATTAGAAATAAAATTACACATACTCGAGCTAATAGTAGCATGTGTTTCAAGAAACATTAGTTTCCTTCGTACCTGTTGCCTAGAAGAGCATGAAGTTGAATGATGGTCTTTTGCTCACGTAAACTGAAATTTCCTCTCTTGATATCAGGTCTGAGATAATTGATCCACCTCAGTCTGCAGCTCTTCCCACATCTTTGAAGACCTATTCAAACAAAAACAAATGTGCCATTTATAAGACAACTAGTAGTAATTTAAAGAACATTTGATAGTGGTTCAAAAAATGGGAAAAAAAATTGTGATCTTAAAATTTTTAGAATGGGAAATTGACCAGCTTTCTCTGGTAAGGAACGCCAACTTCCATGGCCATGTTTTTGAATGAAATCCAGGAGCTTTTGGTCCTCTTCAGGTGTCCACGGGCCTCGCTTCAAGCCGGTTGCATCGCAGCAAGGAGACCTTCCCATTAGATGCTAAACAAGGCAAATCAATAAAGAGAACAGGTTGATCACTTGCCTCAAGATGGTCATATGGTATTTGGGAAGCACTATTTATGGAGACAAGAAAATGCATAGCATTGAATTGTTGCAATTTTGATATAACAATAAAAAAAACCCTCCTTTTTTCTGAAGGAATTTATTTTTTATTAATTTTAATTTCTAATTTTCTGAATAGGAATTCAATAAACAACAATGCCTAACCATACGATACTTATTGTGGCGTCCCAATATTTTTATTTATTTATTTATTTTGTTCAATAAGAGTGCAAAACCTTTACTAGTGGAAAGGGAATTAGCGGGGTTAGAACGTACATCCTACTTGTCTTTCTCAAACTAGACCAATATTTTTCTAGTGTATTTGAAGTTATATAACCTTAATTAGTAGACCAGAAAAGAAGTTATATATCCTTAATTTTGCTAAACAAGTCCAGCTTGATCCATCATCCTTTGCTTAAACCGGTGAATAATTTGATTATAAGCTAACATAGAAACAACTTAAGAACTTTTGTTGGATCTGACAAACGAGAAATATTGTAAAATTGAACTCACTTGAACGAAGAACATATATATGTCTATTATTGACTCAAATATCTGAATTCAAAACTCGTAAATTTAATTAAAAAGTAGTAATTAAGAAGATATACGTATTTGATGCATGAGACAAAACTTATATGAAGTTTTTAAAGTAAAGTTTATGAAATTTCTTTTTTAAAAATGATTTAATAAAAATTTAAATAGATAAATTAATAGAGTTTAATGTGAAAATTAATAATATGTAAAAAAATTATTAAAAATATTATTTATAATTTAAATTTGATCGATACTTATTTAATAATAAAAATTTTGTTAATATTTTTATTAAAAGTGTTTATATGAAAAAATATATAAACATTTATTAAAATTTTTAAAAAATTTACACATTTAATTTATGTAATGAAATCTTTTAATTTATTAGTTTTAATTTTTAATAAAAAATTTTACAAATTTCACCTAAAAAAACTTCATTTAAATCTTTTTCGCATGTATATGTTTAATCAAAATGTAATTAGACAATGGATTGACCTCGATCAATCACCAATCGTGATATATTCGAGTATCTAAAAAAGAATAATATTTTAAAGTCATATCTTAATTTAATTAATTCATATAATATTTTTAAAAAATAAAATATAACAAATTTAAAATTTAAATTCAAACACTTACAATCTCTTTCTTTAAATTTGAAATTGTGGCCTTTTATCTAAAAAACAATCCTCCTTTTTCTTTATGCAGGCTAACTTTCACGATATAACATACTTGTATCACGTGCATATTTTAAAAAATTACACTTATCATTTTTTGTCCAACAAAGCAATTAAAATATCGCCTTATGTTCTTCTTTTCATCTTCAAGGGTGGTTTGATTAATTGTAAACCAAAAGCAGATTTTTTTCTTCTTTTCTCCTTTTTTTCTGAATTTTTTGACAACACAGAGTATAATTAAATCAAGGACTTGTGTCTCATTAAATGATATCTGCATAGCTTTATATGTATATTAAATTTGCATTTGTTTTTGCGTAAATTTGGTGAAATTATTTATTAACTCTGAGCACAAATTTTAACTTACATATATAAGAAAGAAAAGGGCATTAATTACTATCTGAATGCATGCTTCCTACCAACTTGATGTTCTTACTGTTGATCATGGAAGGTTGGCCTCCCCACCTAGCTATATAATATCATCGTTGTATGTCAAGCCAAAAGCAAACATTCTACAGGAAAGCTTAATTTGTCTATTTCCGAAGTACTATTGCGTGTTGGCCTCTCTTTCTTTCATTTCCTTCTTTTTTACATAATTAATAATTTGGTTAATCAATTATTTTATACCTTAATGATCATATTAGCAACAACTCTGACTGTCATGTTAACATGGTTTACAATGACAGTACTTCAACTTGTCACGTTAGGATCTATTAGATTTAAAAGAGAAGATTAAATTAGTACCATATTACTACCCAACTTTTTCTTTTTTGCTTTCTCTTGCTATTGTCTACCTATCTTGCTTTTTTTTTTTTAATTTATTTTTATTGTATATTTGATTGATTTGAAAGTTGAAATGCATCTTAAAATATTATTTCTGACATCTCTTGACCTTTTTCTTTAACAAGTTTGACACGTTCTCCATCTCAACTTTCAACAAACTCCTAATTACATCAACTTAAAGCAACTAATCATCAGGTTTTCTAACACTTTCATGTTGGACTTTTAAAATCTCAATGTTTCAGTCTCATGCAATGAATCACAACAATTTGCTCGTGATCATCAAAGGACAAAGAAAGCACTCTTAAATTTCCATTCAAAGCTATGAAAACAGGAAGGATCTTTATGTAGGTACCAGCAGCTTTACTTTTGTGGTAAAAAGACAAAAAAATCAAATGAAAAAAAAATAAACATACCACCTGAATGGGTTGCGAAAGTTAAGTCATTGTGTTAGGCACAGCTGAATTCAAAACGGGCCATGTTGCAGCACCAACTTTAAGAGCTTCATGAATGGTGGACCACCCCAGCTCTCTTAGGAAAAATTTGAAACAGTATTCTTTACTTGCAACTACATGCATGGTCATTATCAATTTCCCCGTCAAAAGAAAAAGAATTATATTTTTCGTAAAAAAAAAGCCCTAAAATAAAAAAAATCACAAGTGTTAAAGTTTAAATATTAATTTTATTTCATGTTATCTCTTAAGATTAAATATATGAATGAGCCAATAAATTAAGTTTTGAATTCAAAACAAATATATATATATATATATAATATTTTATATATATTAATATGTATGAAGCAATCGTTGAGAAGACAAAACTTATATGAGTTCTATAAGTGAAATTTGTAAATTTTTTTAAAAAAAATGATTTAGTAAAAATTTTAATAAAAAATTTAACTTTATAGATTGATAGAATTTAATGTAAAAATCAATAATATATAAAAAATTATTAAAAATATTATTTATAATTCAAATTTAATTAATATTTATTTAATGATAAAAATTCTATCAATATTTTTACTAAAAATATCTATATCAAAATATATATATCAAAATTTATTAAAATTTTTTCAAGTTTTGCATACTTAATTTATTAAAATATTTATTGATTTTAATTTTCGATTTTGACTTTTATTTAATCATTTTTAATAAAAAATTTTTAGAAATTCACTTAAAATTTTTTATCTAAATCTTTGTCTTGTTGGAAAGTCCCTAAAGAGTTAACAATTTGTGTAGCTAGAAAGATACAACATGAGCCTACAATTAATAGATTCGTTGCATCAATTGAATGAGAATCATAATAATTATATTATTTCTTACAAAAAGAAAGGGCGACCAAAATAAATGGCATGTAATGTACAACATCATAATAATTTGTTCATGTTTTCCACCATTAATTAATATGTTTCTATCTTTTATCAAAGGACATCAAATGCAGCAACAGCTTTATGCACGGAAACTTTATACATGAAAATTAAAATTACAAATTATTGTTCTTTCTCCAGCAAGTTATAAATGTTGGAGAGGATCGAAGTCAGTTGTTCATCAATGGAATTTAAAGTGAAGGACCATAGAAGGCAAAGGGATGGGACCCAACAAAGAGCAATTGATAAGGGAAAGAATCTTTTCCCCTGTTTAAAAAATAGCGAAAATTTTTGCTGTTTTATTTAAATTAATTTAAATTTATTTTTATATTCAATTTAAAAATATTAAATTTTAATTATAAATTTAATTAAAAGGACATTATTCACTCTTAAATCAAATAGTAAAAAAATTTTTAATTAAGCCTGTAATCTTTATTTTTTTAAAAATAAAGCCTTTGATCTTTATTAAAAAAAAAACACCCTCTCCGACTCTCCGTCTCATTTTATATGATTTCTATTGATTTTTTTATGATAGAATGAATTAAATTTTGATCATAATTTTTAAAATATTATATTAAATTAAAATTTTTACAAATGTATTTAAAAAATTTTGACATTCAAACTTTACAATTTTTTTAAAATTTAAAATTTTATGGTTTTATTAAAATTGATAATCAAAATTAAATTGGTTTGATAAAAAAAAAAATAAAAGTTTGTTTGGTTTGAGAGAATTCATAAATTTTTTCTCGAAATCTTAATGGTCGGTAGTTAATTTTCACATTTGATTTAGGATAATCCGATTATGAGAAAAAATGTTATATTTTTAATAGTACTCAAAGTTTCAGAATAAAAAACCTACAAATTCTTGCGATATTCCAAGATTTTGAAAGCAAAAATTGTTTTATTTTTAAATTTGAATTGAATAAAAAAATTATCATATTGCCATTATTTTTTTAAAAAATAAATCTAAAAATAATTGAAATTCAGTTGTAATTTTTTATAAATAATATATATTTTCTATTTTATGTTGCCATTAAGATGTTTCAAGAACATATCAAAATGAGATAAAAAGACTATTTATCAGCAATATTAAATTAAAAAAATAAAAGAATTCTAATACTTGCGGAACCATTATTATTTGGAAATTAAGGTGTAATTGACTATCATATTATTTCCCTTGTTCTGAAGTTTGAAAACCTTCACCATAAAAAACTGATACAATTAATGGAGTTTATCATATCTGATCAAGCAAATCTAATCATTTTTAACTCGAAAAAAATTATTATCATTTCATTACGCTACGTTAAATGTATACATTATAGCAATTATCTTTAATCTTTAATTTATAATTGTATAAGAGAAATGATCTCATCATCTTGGATGTAATTTTTAGCACTAGCGTACCCTAAGCATAGCCTCGAGGGGCTTGGTCACATCAACCCAAACATTTTGAACACCTTATGCTATATATACTGTAATTATTTTATTTAAATTACATTATATTTAATTTACTCGTATTAAAATTGTTATTTATTAATTTTACTTTTAATATTTAACATAATTTTATGTATTACAATTTAAAA